TTCTCATCCAGGCAGATACAGGACGGTCGCTAATTTTAGCCCTGCCACCTTTTAACTTCTCAAAGCAAATGCCTGATCTCTGGAACTCATTACTCCTGCCCTAGAAAACATATTTTTGCCCTTCAGTTGTCCATCCTATTTCCCCTGAGACAACGAGACTGTGCAATGCCAAAGAGTCATTGCTGCCATATTCGGGCAATGTGCTGAGCCTACCTAGAAAGCCTAATATTTTAAATTAGTAGATAGTCAACTTGGTAGTGATGGATGGAAGCACTAGCAGTCTATATGCATGGCGGATAGCAGCCTACAGTGAGTGAACTGCTTGCGTAGTTACATGCACACTAAAATGTCTTAAATCACCACACTGACACTGTTATTTGGCAATCAAGCTTTTTTTTATCATTCTACTCGGCGATTTTGTTAATGCGTAATGTTCTGTAAACCGATTCGAATTGTTTGGATTTGGCTTTAGTGGATTAATAGTCACCGCAATTTTGGTGACGATTGCGGTCATCTTTTTTACTGTAGGTACCCACATATGCTCACATTTTCAGCAAATGATAGTCCTCTGTGTCTGGCGTGTAAAAGAGTATTTTTTCTCCTACCACGGATTTACTAAATACTCAGCAAATGATACGTTTGGGTTAAGTCTGGGAGCAGTAGGCGACTCGTTTATGATGAACTTGAACAATTGCGTTTGCAAGGGCAACGTAGAAATGCATATAAGTGAATTTGAAGGAACTCAGTCAATGCTTTATTATAGACATAGTCCTCTTTCCTGCTTATAAACTATTTGCAGTGTTTAATTAATACATCGAACAATTTCGCATAGAAAATTTCTCTTCACGACTGTCTCAACCGAGATCGGCATATTTTACCGTGTCATCAGTCCCGATGTGTCCTGAGCACATTATAAGAATGCTGTAATTAGAGGATAAAGGTGGCTGACTAGATATACTCCTTGTTTTATACCAGTGCAGCGATCTGCCACACATGAGATTTCATTTCACTTCCTTTTTTGATTCGCCTTTTTAGAAAATTTAAATGCTTAAGCTCGATTGTTTTTAGATGAAAATCTTTTAGATGCTTTGTGCCCTCGGACTGAACTTACTTGGAGCAGACTCAGAGACACTGTGTATGCCCGCGTGTTTGCGCATTTTTACCAATGAGGTTGATGCATCCATGCTTTCAAGTCCCCAAAAGGGCATGCTTTCTCCTGTGTGTACTTGTATACGTGAGTATTAGTGTTTATTTTCGGTACAGTTAAAGGGTGAAGGGCGTGCCTTTCTCCACCAATAATTACCTAACCTGCTATTCGATTCTCATTGCGGAGGGAAAAATCCTCATCCTTCTTTACTTCGTCCCCTAGCTTTCATCGTGATTCCTCAAACACAGCTGTAGTTTTATACTTCGTTATTGGGTTCAATGCTACTTTAACCTCTTCCCATAATTGCTATAACTAAAAAACTGCTCCAGTTATGCGCACCGGCTTAGCATTTTAATAAACTAGATTTCCCAAGGCGTACATTCATTTGGAAGTAAGGAAAAAATTTTGGTATTGTTTGGGAAAATTTTCTTCTTTGTAAGATGGCAGAAATCGGTTTAGTAGTCAGATGATAGGAGGATAAATGCATTTCTGTTTAAGTAGTAAATAAATTGCTAACCATATTGTAGATTTTATGCGACACCTATTCAAGAAGAATGTTACTGCAAACCCATTAACTATTTGCAGCATTATATGGTTCGCAAGTTCTCCTCACGCAAACCTTGTGGACGTCTATGAGAGCTGTCACAATAGTCTAGTCTTCCACTTTCCAGTCAAGAGAATCTACAAATCTACAGGAGCGGGTTATACTTTTGTGTGGCAATTTATGCCGTCCGCTTGCTTACAGTTGATGCAAACGCCATTATTTTACACAGAACGGAGTTGTTTTAAACTGCGTTGTTATTGCGTCCCAATAATGAGTTTTCGCTTTTGGACATCAAAAAATGTTTGAATTGTAGCTAAGTTTAAAACGAAAGCAAAGACTGTGCAATTGGTTTGCGCAAAAATGGTAGCTTCACACCTCCTTCATTTGAACGACTTCAGTTGGCATGATGTAGCGAAGTTAGCTGCCAAGTTAACACGGAGCACAGGACGGAGTAAGGTTGCGGCAGTAGCGCCGCTGATGTTGCCCATCAAGATGCACTGCGTTAAAAGCAAGCATGTGAAAGTTTGAAACCATTTTTGCAGAGGCAAACATTAGTCTTTGATAGAAAATAATTTGCAAGTAGAATTTTAAGGCTCACAAATATTTTCATTTAGCAACAAAGGACATAAAACTTTTCGATTGCTTCAACTTAATTTTGCGTTCATTACTGCAGATGCAACTCACATGGCTACGCATATAGAGGACGCTTTGAATTACGTGTATATTTTGATTAAAATATTAATGTAAACTACCAACTTATGAAACAAAATCTGCCAATAGGAACACAGTTTTTTCCAGGGTTTCACATTATTCCTTTTTAAGCCACCAAGTTTCTTCTCATGCATAGTCCCTTCCATTTGTAAAACCTAAAAACTATTACATATTCATCTCATGCATGAAAGCATGCGCCCTTTCAAATGAAATGTTCTTTTCTAAGTATTTAATGAAATATTATTAAATTTTCACGGTTGGGAAACCTGCTTCTCCCCATTGTACGCATTTGTTTACCCTGACGCCTTAACAAAAGCATCCCTTTTGCTTGTAAATAGCAATCCGCTCTTTTGTGAACCCAATGCTTCTTGTCCGACTTTTACTGAACCTCTATGCCATTTAATGCATTTTATCCATGTATATTTTCTTACCTAGAATTCGTTGAGCCACATAGGATAATATTTGACAAGCCCATTGAATCATTTACGCTCTTGTCGTCCAACTTTGAGTAATAACATGGTACATATAAGGAACTCATGCTCTCCTCACAGCTAGGTATAAATGACCGTATATTATAGTTGGGCTTATAAAAATGGCTTCTAAAATCCCCCTTCAATATCACGCAGAAAATGCAGAAAACACCCAGATGACCTGATGAAAAACGTGTTAGGCAATGCATGTAAATTAAACAACATGCTCACCGTATGCAAATGGCTTGTCTTAACGGTGCAGTCCTTGATGTATAACGATAATTATGCAGCCTGTGCAACTACGCATATATTAAAGTAAGTGTGGTTTGTGTTAGTGAAAATTTGTAAACCTTAAAGTTTGCGACGTGTCAGAATTTGTTCGGTAAAGGTCAAGCTATTCGGCTTAATCCGACGTAAAAATGAGTTGCTTCATATATTGCCTATCCTTGTAAAAATAATAACGGATTTTTCTCAATAGTCGGATAAGTGATTTATTTACCCTTTCTAAATCCTAATTCTAAAGGAGGGAAGAGAAAAACATTAAATAAGCAGTAAGCCTAAGAAGGTTGTTATAATAATTGGCATCATATTTGTTTCTATTAAACTATGGCTTTTTGGCTATTTAGTCATGAAATGATACAATAACACCTGCAAATACTTGGCTTTTCCTCTGAATTCATGGAAACATTGACACAACAAATTGGATTAACCCTTTTTAATTTTAGCTGGTATTTGTGGGAGTGATTAAAGTGGATTCTATTGAGGTCTCATCCAGATTACTAGTGAAGATAGACCTCCCAAAAGACATTTTACTGATCAGCATGTGTGAGCCAGCATAAAGGTGCTGCGTGGTTGTATGTAGCAGAGGTATTGTAATACTTACGTTGTTTTAATGTACCTTTCAGGGAGGAGGTAAGCAGAAAATTCAAATCTCGTGGTCTGATTGTCCTCTCCCGTACCTAGTGACTACAGCTCCCCTCCTTCTTTAACATTGTATTTTCCCTCTCCATCTTGTCACCTTTAATAAAGATGTCCAAAGCGAATCAACCGGACTTGTCTAAGAACGCTAGGAATCGGGAAGCGGAGACCGAGGAGTCTCGCTTTACACTGGCGGCAGCGCCCGCAGACCTACCCCCTTTCGAGGAAGATATGAATTTTGAAGAGTGGCTCTTGACCGCCAAATTCAACCTTCCTCTCTATCTCCGTTGTCAAAGAATACCTCTTATCCTTCGCGCCCTCCCTCATGATTTATTCTAGGCCGCAGTCGGAGCCGGCATCACTCACAACACGGATGTTGACCAATGCTGTGATACATTGGTTCAACTAGTCATCAATCGTGAGGAAAGAACCCAGTGTAGCGTCCTGGAACTCCCTGAAGACGACAAAATACTCAGGCATACTCAAGGTGTCTGAGCTATTGGCATGGCCCAAAAGGCCAGCCCACGCAGCGAGGTACAAGGGGGCTAGTTCAAAGAACAAAAGTGGCGCCTGACCAATGCCGAGGAACAAACCACTATCGTATTACAGTATTAAACTGTGGAGGACCGAGACATCCAACCAAGTCTAGGCCTGATCCTTGATCTGTGTTTGAGTCGCGTGAGTGCCTAATAATTTGGGAATTCGAGTGGAAAGTTGGCGTATCAAGTACAGCTAACGAAATCGTGAATTAGTCTAAAAATGTAAAACAAGCCCCAAATTTGCTTCACTTGCTTTAATTGATGATATGGGGCAACAGATGCAATATTTTTCCTACATTCAGACTAAATAACAAATCCAGTTGAAGATGATTTTCCCTGATACCTGGGAAGAATATCCTTTCATTTATAGTTTCAAAGTGTAATGAGAAGGGATTTTGCTCTTAGCCTTCAAGGTATGTACAGAAATATCCCGTTCACAGCTGAGAGTAAAAAGCATTAAATCCCATCTCACGACTTGTGGGGTCATTGCCCATGTGGTGATGGATTGTGGGGGACCTGCCTACAAACATTCCGATTGCGGTACTTGCACTTCGAGAGCACTCTCTTATGGAGTGATTGCGGGGTTACATCCGCGGAAGTGGACAAAAGCTTGGATTGATTCAATCATAGGATCATATTCACTTTATCGAGGTAAGAGCAGAGAATTCAAGTGTAGAATTTCGTCCATTATTTATTATTCATCGGTATGAACATGCAAGAAAGAAGCACCATTTGCACAATCAACACAGCACATTTAATT